CAAAAATCACAAATTTTGAATCGTTAAAAATAACGATATATAATTAATCGTTAGTAATTAATCATTAGTAATTAAAAAAATTTTTTTTTTTTTGTAATTGTTATTAAATCTTTTATTTCGTAATTGTAAGTAATTAATTATTAGTAATTAAATTTTTTTTTATTTTGTAATTGTTATTAAATCTTTTATTTTGTAATTGTAATTAATTTTTTTTTTTTTGTTAAAAATTATCAACTTTAATTATAGCTGTAATTATTTATTTAAGAATATTGTGAAATGCTTTTTTATTTACTATATCAATATAGCTATATATATGCAGTATGTGGACAACAATGGCAATGGAAAACAATTTTTTTAAATAAAATTTTATTGATAATTTAAATAAAAACTATGTGGCTCTAAAATTATTCATGGTATTACTATATAACTGATCTATATTGCTATTTAAAACATTATCAACTTCAACAGCGCCAGCATTATTAGTGGTCTCAGTTGTTTCAGAAACATTCAAATTATCTTCGTCTATGACTATTGTTGCTGTTCCAATCGAACTTGTACTCTCATTAAAAGCTTTACAGTTTTGCTTTATTCCACTTATAAGATAATCCTTGCAATACTTACACTGGCTACCCAACCTAAACAAAAAATATTCAAAGTAATAAACATGACCACAAACAAGTATAAATCCTATCTCGTTCATCCTTGTACAGCCTTCTAAATTACAGTATTTATTATTTCGTGAAAGATGAGCAGTGTTCCAACTCTTTGGCAATGCCTTGATATCGATACTATATCTGAGTGATGGAAATCTATATTTCAAGTTTATTGCAACCAATTAACCTATATTATTATAAGCTTTTGTAAAAAAATTTAGTAAAAATACAGCAGTTCGTTTTTCAAGATATTCTAGTTGCCTTGCTGAATAAATAATATTGTAATTATTAGAAAAAGTTTCTACAAAAGTATTATTGTTACATATTAGATCTATTATTTGTACTTCTCGAATAATTTAATCTGCCATGTTAAATGGTTAGACTCAACATCAAATTGAGCTATAGAAATTTTCTACATAATAATTATTAAATACATGGAGAGAATTAACAAGTGTCTGAGCAATAGAATGATTAATACTATTCCAATAAAACATATTGCTCAGAAAGGCTAGCAGAAGCTTATTGTAATTTTTTTGTTTGTATTGATAAAAAATACACCAAATATGAAACATCACTTCTCGATAAACTGGCCAATTTCCACTGTGAAATATAACAGGATAAAAGTCCAAGACCAGTGAAATAAAATTATTTAGAAGATTAATTAAATATCTGATTTTAGAATCTTTTGACCGTTCAAATTTTTGTAAGACAATTGAACGAATTTGCGATTAGCCTTTGAACGCTATTTCTAATAAAAGATTTATTTTGTAAAGTTTTGGCTTTTTAGCCAAAACCTTCTTGCTTCCGTAAATATCATGAAAATATTTATCAAAAAAATCATAATTAAAAAGAAATACAGATTCACAACTATTTAAGGATACATGTAGAGGCCCAATCATTGGCACAATATGAAGAGCCTGCTGTAGTATACCAGAAAAATCTCCAAGCTTAATCCTGTGATTAACAGCATATTAAGCTGCCTAGGATAGTCTATAGGTGCTACTAAAATTTGACTCTCCAAATAAATTTTTGCTTTACTTATATTCGTCAAACTTTGGAGAGCACTTATATAATCTTCTAGTGAATAAAAAGACCCTACTTTTAATTTGACAAGCTTAGTATTATCTATGCTTTGATCTTCTCTATGTTGATTGATTCTATTATCACAGCTGTGAACTAAGAGATGTTCAATTCACTCTTCATATGTCTCAGACACAGATATCAAATTGACAAATGCTGATCTTTATACTGTGTAACTATGCCATAAATAAGAAAAAAAAAGTAAATAAGAATTTTCAATAATTATTTTTGAATCAATACTCTTTTTATTTTGAATGCTTTTATCTCCAATATTCGGAATCGACACTGTATTTGGCAGGGCTTTAAGTAATATGGTAATGAAGTGAAAAATATTATGCGTTAATGTTGAATCGCTATGACAATACTCATGTATGTTGTGGAAATCATCTATGTTAAGCACTATTAAGTTTTCACTCTAATGAAAAAATTATATAATTAATCAGTATTAAATTAATACAAGAGGCTACCATGGATTACTAAATTATTCATTTATGACTTATATTATTTGACAAAAAATTTCATACTGATGTCATTTGCATTTTCGCATGTTGAGTTTTCTGTCAAGCAATCATCTCACGCTGTAATGCCAAGCCAGCATCAGCTAAGGTTTCTAATGCTGATGATGATGCCCCAGATGCATCTAGTAAATGTCCAACTTTTGCTTTAACTCTATTAATAAATTTATTATTAAGACCTGCGAGAAAATAACAAAATGAAACCAATCTTTTTTTATTTTTTTTATTAGTTATATAACTTTTGGCTTGTGGATTAGTTCCAGCTACTAATTGATCAAAAAACCTCATAATGCTGGTTCGTTTTCCTCAAGCATTTTCTTGAATTCATCTGGGTTGAAAACAAGACTTTCATTATATACACGTTGCCTTATATATAATACCCCCACCATTAACTTAATCTTTTTACTTAAAGGAATCAACTCTAAAAAAAATAAAAAATAAATAAAAAAATATACAAATAATCAAGAATACAATAACCAATAAAATTTATTTAATTACCCAGTCTCGCTTCATCAAGCTTCTCACATACTTCATGGTATGCGGTTTCTAGTTCCTGAAATTCAGATTCAGAGTAAATGATATCATTCCGTAAAGCATATGACCTACCTTGAAATTTTTTCACATTCTCTTTCGAAATCCTTTCTGGTGCCAACAGATAATTGGATAAGCTAATGTGTTCTGGATCTTTGTCATTTTGTTCAAACAATGACGACACATTACTACCCCCTGTGGTAATTTGAAGAATTCAACTAATCGTACTGGAGCCTTCATGAATTTCTTTGATTCTTTGCCTGTAGAAAGATAAAAACTGTGTTTGGGATATGAGCATACGTTAGTTGGTTTGATCTTTTTTGCATTTACTATAAACTTATTGTAATGTTTCCAACACAAAGCTTTTCCAACCAAATTCAGATGTTGGCTTAAACTTGGTATTACTAATAATTCGGATATAATAGATGTGCCATGTTTTTCGTAATTTCTAGCCTTCTAAATCGAATACTGAGCTTTGTGCTTTCCACTTTTCTTGTTAGAAAGATGTGTAATTTCGTGTGATTTATGTGTGGACATACTGCTTTTCTTTCTAATAACTAAAATGCCTATTTGTAAAAAACGGTTCTTAGCTAAGTTCCGAATTACCAAACCAAGAACCGAATTACTTTGCCAGTATATAGAACGAAACCTCTACTTTTAAATTTAACTCTTACTAATTCGTCCCTGTGCTTACTAATTCATTTTTGTGCTTGCAAAACGTTACGCAATTGTGTAACATCCCGGTCGATCATCCAATCAGAATGAAAGCTCATTATGCTGCTCTACGCAGCTTCATGTAATTTTTCTTTCTACATTATCTTGATTTTTTATTATGCAAATCGACTTTCATTTATAATTAAAAAAAGTCAATCATGCCAAAATTTATATGAATCTAACGAAAACTCAATTTTTAAAAAATTGTAAAAAAGGGCTGTTTTAATAGATAATACCCATATGGCAGTTGGTCAAATAATATAAAATGTATTTAATAATATTTAACACTATATATAATTTTACTGCAATTATAGGGGTTAAGTGTAAAGGTTCAAATTTGAATTAGCTTAAGGTTTTTGGGAATTCTAATTTTTACTTAAGGTACCAAACATTAATTACTTAGCTAGTATTTTGAGATATAGCAATTATGGTGTTCAACACCTATAGCGATAGTGGATTTTAATAATGTTGGCAATCAGTATCTTTAATTCTTTAATTGCTATTATTTTAGAAGTGTTAATAAAATTAACGAATTTATTTGATAATCGGAAAAATGTCAAAATCTCTAAATATAGTTACATGATAATCATAAAGGTTCTTCACGATTATGATGTTTATTATTCATAATTATTGTAGTAAACTATTCGATATAACTATTAGACGAGTGATATTATGTCGAAAATTGAAACCACTTTTGACAGTTTCGGCAATTTCTAGAGTTTTTCGTATTAAAATTTTAGTTGATGAAAGTCTAATCCATTTGTGACTTTCGTCAATGTCGAACCTCTGGGTTTCGTCTAATCAACTGTGTATTAGATCCAACATATCATATTTATTCAACATATTCTAAATCATTCTTAGGTAAAATTTTTAACAATTTATATCATTGATTTTAACAGATACGATTGATTTTAAGTTTGACACTATTGACCGAAAACGAGACATTATCCCAAGTGAAATAGAAATTTGATTCCAAATCCAAACTATGTAGTGATGCCATAATTCAAAAAAAAAAAAAAAGGGTTGGGTCGCAACCCTACCAAACAGCTTTCTTAACTCCAGGGATATCCCCATTTAAAGCTTTCAGCCTAAATTGATAGCGACATAACCTTGAATCTCGAAATATACCACGACCTCGACCTGTTTCCACGCAACGATTCTTGATGGCAGTCGGACGTGCATAACGAGGAAAAGAGTTAAGCATAAGTTGCGCTTGCTGTCGAATTTTTTGCGGCAATTGTTCGTTACGCGTAATGTAACGATAAGCTTGTCGAATCAGTTCAGTAGCCGCAACAGTTTCTCGAGTTTTTATGTCACGTCGAACCCTAGCATTGCGAAGAACACGGAAATTCATTTCGATCGTTTTTATCGTGGATAAAAAAAAAAAAAAACTAACCCAATGCGCAAAATCTATGATTTATACTTCTGTATTTGTACGACTTATCATTGTTACACGACTTGTGAGATTTATAAAAGATAAACGGTAACCATTCAAGTCAAATAAACTATGACGCTAACAGCGACTCATTCCCCAACCAAAACCGAAGTCAATCTTCAAAGACTTTTGGCAGTATGTGAAAAACAAGTTTCTGAAGAAAATGGCTTAATACGTGGACCCGAAAAAATGAAATTCATTACAGTATGTATGCCTTAGTCTCTTTGTTATACATTTTTTATATTATCCTTTTACACAAGTTTCACAATTTTATTTTCATTACAGAATATAAAGTACCTTCGTAAATTGTTAGAACAAATAGAAAAGGATGCCGATTAGTAAGTCTCATAAACTATTTGGATAATTATTTTAAATTCCTTCATTGAATTAATAATATTGTATCTAAAAAAGTCAGGTTGATAAAACAGCCACTAGCGAGTACGCGCGTAAAATTCAGAGATTGTCGGACGTAGTTGATGAATTTAAATTGGTAAGTACAATGTAAAGTATAGTAATTTTTCGTTTCTTATGCATTAACATTAATGCCTTATAGGTATCACCGGTAACTCGAGCATTTTCACAAGCGCGTCTTGTTAAACATGCGCATCAATCTCAAGAAGAGAAAAATAAAGAAAATCAATTAGAATTAAAAATGGTTAGACAGGCTGAAAAAGAATTAAAGGAAGAACTTATGCAGGTATGACTATAATTTATTATTTATTAAACGGTTATGTTATATTAACATTATCAAGTCGCAAATCACAATTCAATTTATTTTATTAGCCACCCACACACCCACTTAATACTGAACCTAATGATATTAAAACATACACCGAAAAAAGGATGGGTATGTATATATTGACAGATGATATTAATATTATATGACTTAATGTATACTGAATTTTCATTATTATATTGTACATGATTAGAACTATTTTCTTCAGATGTTTCGGGATCAGATACAAGACAACGAAGGTTAATCTAGATGTTTTTAGAAAGTACCGCCCACTTCACATTCAAAAATGTTTTTTTCTAAAGTTTTTTTTTTTTTGTTTTTTCTATTATAGAACTTTTGAACATGAAGACACGTCAAATATTGAAACTGTTCTACAACATCACCGAAAAACACAAGACGAACTTACAAGTGAGTTAGTAAAAATGGCAGGAAAGTTAAAGATGAATTCGATGACGTTTGGCGATATATTGACAAAAGATGAGAAGGTTCGTATTTTTATGTTCAAGTTACTACATTTTATAAACTTTATAGAATTAAAATATATTGTATTAAATAAACATAATAGATAATCGACGAGGCCCAAAGTATTCTTGGTATTAATTTAGACAGATTAAAAAAAGAAGGGACCAGGCTAGGTGCTTATGCAGCACAATCCGGCAAAACCACATGGTTGGTATGGGGGGTTGTAGTATTTGTTTGTATTACATTCATTTTAATGTTTATGTTAATTCGCATCTCGTAAAGAGTAGCGATAATACAGATAATTGAAGTAGTCATATTTATAATAGATAACGTTAAATTTATATTATTCTATATCGATATGTAAGCAATATCTAATATCTAATTATGTACAAAACAGACAGAGATACATATTTAATCAAATTAAACGCAACAAGTATCTTCTTATTACAGGATCTTGTGCTCTGAAACCATATTTATATAGGTTATAGCACGCATCCCAAACTTTATGGTTTTGTGCATAGCGTAGATATTTCAATTCATAAAAATCAGCAATTTTATTCACCATTTTTTCATCCACTTCACATTCATCGAATATAATGACGTCATCTGGGACAATTGATACATAGTTAATTTGATCATCATCAGGATCATATGTAAATATATCTTCGAGCGGATTGGCAAAACATAATTTTTGGTGAATTCGTATTCTGTGCTATTTGAAAAAAACATCAGTAGATGTTTGATCGAAAAAATTATAATTTAAAATAAATCATACCGGTGCACCAGGTTTCTCTTTTAATATTTTGTATGGTGGCAAGTCTTCTTCTCGTGCAGAAAAACTTGATTGCCTCAACAGAATTTTTTTTAGGTACTAAAAGAAAAATAAATAAAAAAAAATAAAATAAAATAAAATTTATTAATAATTTAAAAAGAAAAATCACAGATTCAAATAGAATTTACAAATTAAATATTTATTTACTCGACGTTTCTTTGACATTTCCATCCATAGCAAGAAGCAACTTGCCTTTCTATTGAATTCATAAACCTCCACTGCCTTGGCTATATGTTTCTTTCGTTTAATTGTATTAATTTTCCAAATTTTGAAATATTTTCTTGCAAGGTAACTATGAAATGGAGAGTCTTCGGAAGGAAAAGATCCAGGAAGCGATGGAAAAGAGAATAACTTCGAGCTGGATGATGACCTAGGGATGCTTTCAGAGTTAAGATACGCCTAATAAATAAAGAATTAATTTAATAAAAGAATATTTTAAAGAAATATAAATTATTTAAATACTTCAACCAACATCGAACGTTCGTTTCACCCAATCTCCAAGAGTCTTCAGCTTATCAATTTTTGGGACAGTCGGGTTATAACGATTTCGACGATTTGCGTTACGGACGATAGGTGGCATTTTGAGTAACTAGTAGAAGAAAATGAATAAACAAGAATTTTTATGATAGATTATATATATTGTTGATTAATTAGAGTTGTTGAAAAACAACAAACGCGATTATATAGATCTTTTTTTCGTGTTACGGGCAGGGCCACGCCACCATTGGGAATTGTTCCAACTCGGGCCTAGCGCTTGAATCCGGTTTTAATTTTCATATGTTAAATCCGGTTTTAACATAAAATTACAAAGTTTCTATTGGCTGAAATTATTTACAATAATTTACATGTCACCATCTTGGTTAATTAGTGTGAAAGATATAATCCAAACCCGGTAGTATACTTGAACATGTCAAAAAACTTTCGATCAAGTTCCAAATCAGGGAAAAATAAGAAACCAAAGTCGTCAAGATTTTGTCCCTGTTCTAAATCTTCCCCAGTACTGCAGTACCACTAGGGCAAAAAAAACGGCACGTGATTAAAAATGTGATGCCGATACTAGAGCTGGGGATTAGGGTTGGGGCACCTAACAACCCTAGCGTCGCCCCAAAAAATGGTAGCCGGATTTTTTGTCGGCTTACATGTAATTTCGGATGATAATCTCCGGGTAAATTTTTGTCTTTTGCGATTGATATGTAACGTTAAAAACTTTAAATATAGCACATAATAAACGTTGAAATACACATATTTTATTCAATTATTTTGCATTGTATGAAGTAAAATTGTATTAATTACAATAATAAATTTAATCAAAGTAACAAATCGTTACCAACTACAAACTTAAATTATATATTTATAGTTTTTACAAATATAGAGCCATAAGTGTATCTTTTTGAATATTATAATTTGAAAATATATGCCTATCTCAAGTTTTTGCTAGCAAAAATAAGATGTTTAAAAGTTTATTTCTAATACATTGTATTATTATTAAAGTCTTGCCACGTTCTTGGTATTATTTTTCAGTTATTTAATAATAAAATATCATTGTTCATTTTTTTCAGTAATTTAAAATTTGGATGAATGTTCTTTAATTATAAATATTTACTACAAGATTCATCTAAAAGCTCCTTTGCCTTAAATATGATTAAAATTTTGAAATTTTAAAAAATACAGAAATTTTAAAAATATAAATAATAATAAAATTCATATACCTTGTCCAAAATTTTATGCAAATGTGCTAATTTTGATTCATACATATCCTGCTCATCATCGTTACCTTCAATAACATAATTATTTTCATGTTCGATAAATGAATCTTGAGTTAATGGAAGAGTAAAATTTTTATACCTTTGATTTTTCAAGTTAAATATGTTCACCAATTTGCCTTCATACAAGGAAATTAATAGATAAGTTCCATTTCGCTCCACCTATAATATCAACTATATCATGATATATATATATATAATAAAAAAATTATTACTTGCCTTTTTAAAAAACATTAAGTCTGGTTTTTCGACAGAATTAACTAAATGTTTGTATAAAAAAAATGGCTCAGACTATATGCAGGGCATGCACATATCCATTTAGTAGGATCAGTAAAATATTTATTATTTAATTACATTTTCTTCTTCTCATGTTGTTTCCGTTCTTTTTTTAAATTCTTTCACTATGGTACTGAATACCGCCCTTGCTG